GAGTCCAAGTCCTTGGTTGAAGAGGTGAGAGGTGATAGCTACCTATCCAGGCTGGAAAGGGGTCCTTGTCCAGTAAGTATTGTCCAGCAGGGGTCGCCGGCAGGGCCTCTGGGTGGATAGGTGGTGTGGCATGGTGCTGGTCCAGATGGAGAGAGTGTCCCACTGGGTCTGTCTTCACTGCCCCTTTTTATAGGGGCAGACCTTGTGTGACCCTAGTGACAGGAGGCATGCCCAGGCAAGGGGCAGCCCCTGGCGTACTGAGCACGTGTGCTCCATGCAGGGATGTGCAGTGTCACAGCGGGGTCCGGCAGGAGGGCCGTGATCTCCTTCAGGCCCCCTCTCCGTGCCTAGTTGGCCCAAGGGCACCCTCTGTTTCTCGCCCGCCACGTCTTTGATGGTTTAAATTGGTTGGGAGGCTGCCTTACGCCCTCTCGGACACATCTCTATGTTTATTCAGACCCTGTGGTTTCCCGGACTCCTCGTGGGTCTTGTCCTACAAATGGGTGCTTTGGAGCACCCTAGCCTTATGGGCTATGCGTGGCTCCAACCACCCCTGATACCACGCCCCAAGCCTCGCAGTTGGAATTGACGTTGGTCTGTGTCTCTACATACTCTCACGCCCGTTCCTCGGGTCTCTTCTGTATTGCCGCCCTTTTCTCGGGCCATCTCAATATCACCGCCCCCTCCTGGGGCTCTGTGCCCAGGCTGGGCCTTCTCCGCAGTGCTGCCTCCTTCTTCGGGGCCTCCCACGGTGCTGCCCTCTCTCTGGGGCCTTCTCTGTATAACAGCCCCCTCTCGGGGCTCTCCAATAAGCTGTCCCCTTCTCTGGGGCTCTATGCGCCCGTACTAGGGCTTCCCAATAGCGCCCCTTCTCTGGGACTTGCCACACCCACACCGGGCTTCTCAATAAGGCGCTCCCTTCTTTGGGGCTCGCCATGCCCACCTTGAGCCTCTTAAAATGCTGCCCTCCTCCAGGGTCTCTCTGCGCCCATGCTAGGGCTTCTCAAAAGTGCACTCCCCTCTCTGGGGCTCGCCACGCCCACGCTAGGGCTTCTCAAAAGTGCGCCTCTCGGGCTGGGGTCTATACACCCCGTATGCTACGCCCTCCTGGGCACCGGGGTCCTCACACTCCGCTGTGAGGCCCCTTTGAGGATACTGCGTGCTCACTGGCGCTGGGGCCCCCACACCACTGTAGGTCCCTATGAGTACACTGCGCCCGCTCTGGCGCTGGGGTCCTCACACTTCGTTGTGAGTCCCCAATGAGGCCTCCTCCAACCCCTTATAGCCTCACCCAAACCACCGGTGTAATACACAACACAAACTCGAGCCTCTTGGCTATAACTCAAACACACGCCCTCTGGCTATAACAACATTGCTCAACTCTGCTCAAGTAGTACCTGCAGGTCTCACTGCTTCTCGCATCCCTACTCCAGGAGCTCCTGCCCCTCTGGCTGCTGGCAGGTGTGGGTCATTTGTTCCCTCCAGTTGCCCTGGCAACCCACAGGTGGGCTCCTATTCCCTGCTAGGGCTCCCTATGCACTGCCAGAGCTTTTCCTCTGGCAGTTTCTGCCCTCTAGGAGCAGGGCACCTCAGTGCTCTGTGACATGCAGTTTCGGGTGTCTGTAATGGTGGGGTACAATGGTAGAGTTGCTGGTTCTGCAGGGGCTTTTGTCTTTCAAATGCTGGGTTCTTGTCTCTCTGTTCCTGGGTGAGGTCCGTGGTTCCTGGATGAATGAATGCAAGGTGATGGCTCAGTCATTACAGGCCATTCAGTAGAACTTACCTGTGTGTATGTGTAGGTGGGTTGTATGTGTGTGAACTGGTGTGTGTGTGTGTGTGTGTGTGTATGGTGTGCATGATATACGAAGTAGTGATCTGTGTCTAACTTTTGGGGTGTATAGTGTATGTGCTTGAATTGGTGATAGGTATGCATGTGCCTAGGCTGGTTTGGATGTGTATGTGCCTGAGCTGGTTGTGTGTGTGTGTGTGTGTGCACCTAATTGATTTGTGTGTTTGTATATGTGCAATTGTGTCACACCCTCCTGTCTAACAGTGCAATATTGAGATCCTGAGAGTTGGCCTGACCCCATAGGGCAACACAGTCTGCGATTCTACCTCATGTGCCAAGTAGACCTATTAAGCATGCACAAAGCTACTGCTCCAGTTTGCTATCCTGTTGCTGTTAGGAAATATTTATTAGTCATCAACCAAAAATACTGTTTTCAAAGTTTTCTATTAATTGTAATGTAAACAAAGAGCTGTAATGGTAATCTGAGGACTTGTTGAAGCTGTGAATTTGGTCAGGACAGGCTTATTTATACTGGCACCAGCATTACCCTGGAGGTTCTATCCATTTCTCAAAATGTTAGTGGTAATTTGGCCTTAATTAAAGTTTTCTTACTGAACATGAACCAGTATAGCACTGTGTATAAAAACAAAGAGAATCACCTAACTCTTATCATGCAGATAGACTTTTCTGAATAGTATTTATGTATAATGGCAGGACAAAGAGCAGGGAAATTTTCATTTCTAGCAGTTTGACTGCACCTGTTCTGTGATTTAATAAAGGGAACCAGACTGTGATGGTCCATCTGGCATCTTTCATCAATACTAAATGTATTTAGTAAAAAGCACTTGAGTGGCACAGAGGTATGAGCCTATTAAGTATAGGAAGATACAGCTGGAATTAATCTTGAGATACACATTTTAAATGAATTATAGTTGAATGGTTTATCTGGACAGTGCTCTGAAAACAATACAATTGTGTTTTTGTTAATATTTCATTCTGAAAAAATAAAATTACTTTTCTGTTAAAAAAATTAAATTAGCTCAATTCTAATTGAGAAGTAGCTTTATTTTTGCTTTCAGGCTTGGAATTATGGTCATGATAATAAGTGATTACAGAATTAGACATACAGTAATTATCTCTAAGTAATAGGATTCTGAATTGGGTGGTCACCATGTATTTTTAGAAACTGATGGTGATCTTTTTTGTTTTCTCTTCAGAAGAGCTTACTGGTTCATAATAGCAATTACATCAGAGATCTTTTCTACCTAATAGCAATTGTTGCTCAGCCAGCATCAGTCTCAGAGCACCCCCTGCCAACTGTCTGCTAAGCACTCCTGAAAATTTCAAAAGGACCCAATTTTCTGAACTATTCTAAACAAAACTCAGTGTCATGATGATGGCTTATTTGGAGAATATCACAGGGATGAAAAACAAATAAATGACAACATCTAAATATTCAATGAAGTATAAAGGTTAATGACAACTAAATTCCCTCCAAAGAAAATGTAAAGGTTTTCACAATCTCACACACAAAATGTGTTTAGGTTGATATATATGTATGTGTCTATTTTGCAAAAACTGCATTCATGGAATGTTAGGTTGATAAGTCAAAAACACAAACATTAGGAAATGCCAGAATTAAGATGGCCCATGTTTGTATAGACTTCTGCCTCTTAAGCCAATTGAATAGCTGGCAGAATTATTAGCCTGTTCTATGTAGATCGGCCACTAGAGGGTAATGAACCGAATATTTTGTTAGTGGGTTTAACAGTAATATCCTAAACAGCACAAGAGTGTAAAATCAAGAATTCTGAGTTTAATTCCAAGGTCTGGGGGGCGGACAAGTGCTTGGTTATTTGCAGATTCCCTGTTCCTACTCGCTCTCTTTTCCCATTTGCTCCTCTCTACCATGACAAACCACTCTGCTCCATTAGATGTCTGCATTCTTTCACATCAAGTAGCTTCCTTGTCACTGCCTAACTGGCAAAAGAAGGAACATTTAGAACATAAAACAGAGTGTCTTCTTATTATCAGTTCTGGTAACAGATATCCTTAGCAGCCACAAGGAGTAAAGTAAGGAAACTCCTACTTTACCCCTGCTTTCAGTTGTCCTCTGCAGATGGCTGATGCTCATCACAGCTGATGCATAGAAGCTGTACAGAATGGAGTGTGATGCTGATAAACTCTAATAGTCTCTGCTGAACATGTGGGAACTGTAACTTTCAGGAGATCTTGGGATTTCATGGAGGCAATTAAGGGCACAGACAGAAGTTACATTTATTGTGCGATTGGCCCCTTGAAAGTGCTATATAGCCATGCCCTTACAGAAGAGCACAACTGCAGAGCACTTTAAAAGTCCTCGATTACATGACAAATTAACCCTTATTATATGAAGGTTCAGATGAAGACACTCCAAAGCAGTGTGCCTTAACTTCTGCTTGATCAGATGGCTAAACTGATGCAGCCCAGCCCTGCCCCCAGTGCTGTCTGCACAATGGGAGGAGAGAGAGAAGGAAGGAGAGGAAGCTCAGTATGGGCTTTGTGCAGCCTGCGCTAGAGGGAGGTTGGGTAGATTGGAAGCCCCCACCTCAGGGGGGCTCCAATCCACCTGACCCACTCCAAAGCAGGCTGGGCACACCCCAGCCAGAGCTCCCTCCCGTCTCCCCTCCCATCATGCAGACAGCACTGTAACTGGCGGGTGGGAACGGTTCAGGGGAGAGAAGCTGCAGACATGCAGCTCCTTGGCTGGATCAGCCCCACAGCAGAGCTTGATCCCCCACCCTCCTGGCCCAATAGCAAATGTCTTTTGGGTCAGGGGGGTCGGAGTAACTCATGGCACTTTCTGTGAAGTGCCACTAGTTAGACTGGGGACCTGTATGTCTGTAAGTGCCGTAAAAAGCATGTCTCTGACAACAGAATGCTCCCTACTTAATTTTGAATTCCTGTTCCAATATGTGGTCTCAGTACAATTTCTCAATTAAGGGACCAGGTTCCTTACAGTTAAAAAGTAGAAGCTGTGAGGGGATGGCAAATGTTCAGTACAGGCTGTAAGAATTTTTCAACATGGGCAAAACAATATATGGTTTCCCAAGATCTGTCTCAGAAACAACTAAGTTACTTTAGCAGAAATTGTCAGAAAACCTCCAGTCTGAAAGAACCAAATGAATATGATTGCTTTTAAATTGCTAAATCTTTCTCTCTTAATTTGTAGTGAAGGAAATCTGGCCACAAAGCAAGTTGTTTTTCTTCAGAGACCTGTTATGTGGAATTCAACCATCCAAACACCAGAGGTGAGTAAAGATGTACAGAGTCAGTACAAGCAGATAATTGAATATAGACAGAGGTTGCTGGATACTGAGTAATTTTTTATATCAGTAGTTCTAGGTAATGAGTTGAGCTGCATGCAAAAGCAAACTAGACATCAAACTCAAGAGTGATAACATGAATCTTTCTACTGTAAAATTAATGCAAGTTTCCAGAGGACTTTAGCATATAGTTCAATATCAGCTAGAGCAGGGGTGTCCAACCTTTTTGAATGTGGGGCCGGATCATGAACTTTTTATCACCCAGTGGGCCGGCAAGTCATATTCATATTTTGTCACCCCGCAGGCTGTATGTTGGACAAGCCTGAAATAAGGCAAAGCTGGCATAAACCCCCACCAGCGCTCAGCTAGTGACAAACTACAGTAAATGATGTCCTGGACCAGCCATCCCAACAGCTGGGGCCCCCCTTCTGCCTACTACGACCACCATTTGAAGGCAGCCCCAGAAGATATTTGGCAGCCGTGTTAAACTGTGACCAAACCGATGTAGCCAGTGCTCTTACGTAGGCCAAGGGGCCGCCTATGCCGCTGCTTCCCCAGGCCTTGCCCGCACCAGCAACACCACTGCCCAAAGTTTTGGCAGTGCTTGGGCAGGCACAGCTGGGCCCCAGCCAACATGTGAGATGGGGGATGGTGGAACTGCAGGAGCGAAGCCAGTTCCAAGCCTGGCAGGGTCTCAGCCTTGGTCTGCCCAGGGCGGCTCCTGGCGGGGAAGGCCTCGGGGGAACATGGGACACTCCGCTCCTCTGCGCTTCCCTGCAGCAAAGGCAAATGGCCCCCAGGAGGGTGCAGGCAGCCGCCACCGCAGGAGCCCAGCGCCCAGCCCCGCTGCCGCGG